CAAAAAAATTAAGTAAATGTAGGGATGGCTAATATCAATCCTTCAAAACAATGCAAACAAAATAGTAGGGATGATATTTGCATCATCCCTACATAATAGCACAGTGTAATAGAATGTTAACAGACAAAAATAGAATAAATTCAACTCTATTGTGATTGAATAGTTATATATATATATTGCTATATGCTAATTCTTGTCTGAGTTATTATGTACGGATGATGTAAATGTCATCCCTACTATCTTGTTTGCATTGTTGTTTTTTAATGCAGTGTTTCAATAGACATTGGAAGACTATATTTATAACCAAGTTATAAACACAATGAGGTTCCAACTGTAATATTTATTGTTTATCTATTATTCGCTGGTAACTCCTGTTTCACCCTGTACTTAAGCTTTTAAAGGAACACCAAATTTCTGTAAGAAAGCTAGCCTCAAGGGGTAATGATAACATCACTTACACTAGAATTATGGGTTTTTTTTTGTTAAGTACTACTAGTTAATAAGTTATTTAAAAATAGATAGTCCATTTGAAACTATGTCACCTCAGTGAAATTGTTTGACACCATTGTTTTGGTTTTTGAGTTATCATGTAATAAAGTAGAAGCAGAAGAAAGAAGAACAAGAAATTCAAACTTTTTCCTATGATATTTACAGACATTCCCAGAATTTGTGACTCAGTCATTACATAGATATCATTATAACACTGTATAGTATTGTCAAGTTCTGATGACCAATTGAAGAGATATTTAAAATACCATTTAGATGAACAATCCGAGCCAACCTTACATGCTCGCCCTTTCAGCCGTGGGGGCGTTATAATATGACGGTCAATCCCACTATTAGTTGGTAAAAGAGTAGCCCAAGAGTTGGCGGTGGGTGGTGATGACTAGCTGCCTTCCCTCTAGTCTTACACTGCTAAATTAGGGACGGCTAGCGCAGATAGCCCTCGTGTAGCTTTGCGCAAAATTCAAAAACAAACAAACAAACAAGCTTGATGAGGAGGGGGGAGGATCCATTTCGTGAAATATATATACAATATATATATTCTATTTGTTTTTACCCAAAATAATGTTAACCCGATTAGCACCCAAGTGTTAAGCACCGATTTCTGACGTATCAGTAATTGAAGTAGCAGGAAATGTAGGCACTGCGTTTTCGTAAAACGTGGTCCAAAGTTCTAGTATGTAGTTCTTGTTGTTTGTTTTTTTTTCTTCTCATCTTTATTTAATCTTTTGCCTGGAACAGACAAGATTTTATGTTTGTCGGGGTTACATGATTCGTTCCCAAAGATTTGAATGTCGCGTACGTTTGTCGAGAAATTGCCTTCGTCTAGAAACCCGTCAAGCTGTTTCTCCTTGATATACAAACTTACACAGGAGGAAGATTAACTTTTGTTGTTGAATACTAAGTGGAAACTTCTTGTGTTTAGCAATATCTTTTTAACTACTTTCCATTCAAGAACGTTTTCGAGAAAAGTTTATATGAAAAGCGACATCAAGCTTAATAAAACCTCGAACACGTCTCACGATATCCATAATAATCAACCAGAGCAACCTTTTGCTTGTTTCTGCTGCTCTACGATGGTTGACTAACGTGGGGTTCCAATCTACACGTGGTTAATTTCGTATATTTGGCACAAAAAATATTGAGAAATTTGCACATTTAATTTCTCTCTGTTTCGATTTTACGTCCTATTAGAGTGCTACTGACTGGCTGCCTTTCCTTTGGTGATTAGTTTAAAATTGGAGACTTGTTTGTTTGTTTGTTTTGAATTTCGCGCAAAGCTACACGAGGGCTATCTGCGCTAGCCATCCCTAATTTAGCAGTGTAAGACTAGAGGGAAGGCAGCTAGTCATCACCACCCACCGCCAACTCTTGGGCTACTCTTTTACCAACGAATAGTGGGATTGACCGTCATATTATAACGCCTCCACGGCTGAAAGGACGAGCATGTTTGTGACGGGGATTCGAACCCGCGACCCTCAGATTGCGAGGAAAATTGGAGACTTCGACAGATGTGGTTTAAGAAGCTTTGACATAAAAACATAATATAAGTAAATTAATTGAGCAGGAGGGAATACCAAATTACAAATCAAAGCGACTCTTGTAAAAACAAAACAAAAAAACCCACCATCCATGCTAAGGGATTGACTATTACTCTTATAACGCATCCACATATTACAGAAAGGGGAATATCTTGTGGCATCGTATTGAGTTTATTACGTACATGGTTACTTTTTTTTCTCTCTCTCTTGAACATTATATTATGTTCCAATGTTTGTAGACTTTCAGATATATAGTAGGGAGTAAAGTTCTGTTATTCAGTTTACATAAGTCGAAACGGACTTTTGTTTGACCTTAGGAAGTAGAATTCACGTGCCATTAACCCTAAACTGTCTCAACTTTTGTGACTACCTCATACTTCTGTCAAAATGGTCATCCGTAGAACAGACTCCGGACAATTATTTTCTTGTTAAGGTGATTTTTTGTGTTTTGTTTCCTTTTACAGAGAAATCCAAGTTCCTACTTTAAAATGGTGACATTGAACTTTGAACCCCAAAATCAATAGGGTTCTTCTCCAGCCCCAAGGAAAGTGACCTGTGAAGTTTGATTAAGATCTGCTGCTATTTCGAAATCTAGTCATCTACAGACGGACGGACAACACTTACCAAAGATATAGACCCCCCCCCAAACCTTTTCGGCCAGGGGTGAGGATGATAAAAGATTTTCTGGTTTTTTTTCCTATTATCTTCAAATTAAACGGAATTTGTAAATTAAAGTTTCTTATCGTTAATTTTAATTTTTAAGTTTATATGAAACTTGGTGAAACAGGTTTGGTATGGTTTGACATCCCTGGATAATTGTTTGTTTGTTGGTAATTAAGCACAAAGCTACACAATGGCCTATCTATGTCTCCTGGATATTAATTTTGCTTATCTTAGGTTTAGAGTTGTCATTTGAAGTGACCTTTATGTCTCATTATTTAACCATTTATCGCTTTGAGAACCATTTACGGTGCTGACCTTTTGTCTAAAGGAAAGGGGGAAAAGAAACTGGACAAGAACAATGGAATATTCTGATAAAGTTCTCGAGTGTT